AGGGGAAAGAGACTTTACGTGACTCTGCTTGTCAAAGTAGAGTTATGAAACACATCTGGCAGCATGTGCGCTGATTCATGGCTCTTCTATTGCTCAATAGTTCTATATGATGCCTTATACCTATGGGCCCATCTTGTGTTCCATTTCTTCTCCCTGCCCACCTGAGAAGGGAGTGTAATTGCTGCAGCCCTCTCTGGCCATACTGCTTCTGCGCGCTGTTCAATGCTCTCAGCAGGCTCAGAGACTTGCAAGTCGGTGGGTTCTCCAGCTGCCGCTACAAGTGCCTCAGGGCTATCCGTGAATTACAGCACCTTCCTTTGTCCTCTGCCTTCTGCATTTACACGCGTTGAGGGCAAGGGCATAACACTATCACTTTATGCGATGCAAGCTCTAAAATCTTGGTAACAAACCCCAAAGTGCTTGTCATCTAGGCTGCCAAGCCACTACTGGATGGCACTTAGAGTTGTTACTGCTCAGAGCTACAGTCCATCTGTAGGTTGAGGCCCAGTCACTGTTATGCTCTTCATATTCATGGTGTTTCAGGAGTCCACAGAGAAGCCGGTTTTTAAACTCCCTGGAGTTACAGCTTTTTCCTTCACAAATTCTCCCTCCTGTACTTACAGATCTAATTCTGCTCATGCATTCTGCCACTTTTCTGCTCTACACCCCGACCCCTCGTTCTTTTGTCCTGCCGTGGCAATCTGGAAGTCCCACTGTATTCTAGTTAGAGCCCCACGTTGATACAGAGTTTGTATCCACATCCACAAAAATGAGCCATGGATATCCACCTTGACCTCCACGGATGCAGATACCCACGGTTATAAAGCAGATTGCCACAAATTTGCCAGGTTCTACGCACAAAAATTACACCTGCATCTGTATCTGCAAAAATGAGTGGGGGAGATCCACATCCACATATAGCCACGGATTTGCAGAATTCTAATCATAACGATATCTCTGTGTTGCTGTGCAGTGATGTACCCATCGGAAGTCACTTGCTGATGGAATGTGTGTTTGCTGTATTGAGAACTAGGGGCCACCAAATGAAATTAATGGGCAGCGGGTTTAAAACAAAGAAAAGGAAGTTCTTCACAAAGTGCACAGTCAACCTGTGGAACTCCTTGCCTGAGGAGGTTGTGAACGCTAGGACTATAACAGGGTTTAAAAGAGAACTAGATAAATTCATGGAGGTTAAGTCCATTAATGGCTATTAGCCAGTACGGGTAAGGAATGGTGTCCCTAGCTTGTTTGTCAGAGGGTGGAGATGGATGGCAGGAGAGAGCTCGCTTGATCATTACCTGTTCGGTTCATTCACTCTGGGGCACCTGGCATTGGCCACTGTCAGCAGACAGGGTACTGGGATGGATGGACCTTTGGTCTGACCCAGTATGGCCGTTCTTATTGAGGCACTCGAAAGAAAGGTACAAAAAAGATCTTGCAAGGGTAGGTGGGACAGTGTGGGTTTTTTTTTCATGCCACATAAAGAAAGTACACAAAGCTTGTTCTCCCTTCCCTGTCACCCTCCTCCAACCTCTTCCTCTGATTAGCCTGGGTATGGCTTGCCTTTAGAAATGCAGGTCTTTACCCTGGAAGACACAATGTTCATATA